TGTAATTACTAGCAGGATGCAGAGAGAAGTAATTTAGCCAAAGCAATGAGCCCTGCAGCTTTTGCCTCCTTAATTCAACATTTGGTGAGTTCAGAAAAGGAACAATTGCGGTGTTTGACACCAAGAGCCCTGGGTAAATGTTATAGCTGTGTCAACAGATAGAAGAGTCTTCCTCTTCAATATGGAAAATAATCTTCAGAAATTAAATCATACATAGTCCAGACAAAAGTTGACATCTAGTTTATAACCCCAAGTGAGAGTTAGACCTGTGCTGTCATTCTCTGTGAAGGTCAGAAGGTTAGGGAGGAGCAACCAAGAGTTTTTATATATTAGCCATGCAGAACTGGAAGTGATGTTTAACTACTCATGGGTAAATACCACAGAGAGAAGATGAAATTTTGGTTTGTATAGAAGGAGGGAAGTGAGTGTGTGCCCAGTACTCTGTGACACAAAGGTTTTGAGAAGAAAGCAGTGGCTGTGCTGGATGACCATGGAGAGCACTGTGTGTGCTGGGCTACCAAAAACCCGAATTTGGATAGGAAGGGGCAATCTGATTGTGGTTCCGGCTGCTTGCAAGAGGCAGAATACAGGACAGGAGAAATCCTCTATAGAAATGGGGGAAAGTAGATATAGAAGGTACAGGGCTTTTTCCCAACCTTTCCCTTTCCTTTTCTTCACAGATATAGCCACACGTCCCCTTCCTCTCTTCTAAATCCTATATCCTTTAATAACTAGCCTGCACTGATTTTTGCTTTCCTACTAAAATGCAAGGAAAGCTGTAACATCAGTAACACTTCTACACACATATGTCCTAACTGACTATTTGGGTTCACATCCTAAGCTCATATCATTGCTTCAATGAAGCCGCCGAAGGTATGAAAATATATAGCAGCTGAAGACCTGATTCTTTTTGCTTCTGTATTTATATCTCACAGAGGAAATTTTCTACTAGGAGAATAGAATCCAGTCCTGTTTGTTTGTTTGTTTGTTTGTTTTCTTCTGTTTCTTTCCTTATGTTTTTTACAGGAAAATATTACTGCTTTTATTTCACACAGTTTCCTTCCTTTTCATCTTTCTGTTGATTTAATCAATTTCAGTGTTTTTCAATGATAGCTTTTCAGAGTTCCTTTTTCCATATGCACACCCATGCTAAAGAGGTCTTTTCTGTGCACATATATCCTAATTTACTGATCCTTTTACAGATTGCAATCTTCCAGAAATCAAAAATGAGAAAACCATTTGTGTTTCCCGTCTTGTCCTGATATGCAACAAAGACAGTGGAGACTGGGACTGTGAACAGAGGTTAAAACTTCACAACCCTGAGGGTGCTTAGTAATAGAAAATATGTTCCTATTTTGAACCGTATGTACTGTTTGTGTTACAGTTATAACCACCATCATATGCCTTACAAGCCCCTTAACACCACCAAAGGAAGAAAACAGACTGAATTTCTTATAACATTTTTCACAAACAAATAGTGCTATTATTATCCTATTTAAGTCCAGCTAGAAAAATAAGCATCTCAGCACCCAGTTGTTCAAATGAATGGGATTCTGTGATTGTTTGTATATGTACATGTGATTTTACTGGAGAAAGACACAATAAAAGAGCCACTTCTTATAACAGTGACAAGTAAGATGAATGTGAAATAGAATAGTCAAAAAATGTGTTTGATGGATAAGGTTAATGATGGAAGCCTCTGTAGTGATTCCGCTAATGAGCCGTGCTTTATTCATCTCATGTTACTGCTGCCAGGAATGTATCAGTTGTACAACACTTTAAGTGACCTTTCAGGCACAGCCAGGATAAAATGCCTGCAGAAAGGGCAGCATTTTGCATGCTTTAAGAAACTAGCTCAGAGTCCACAGGGAGCTTTTAGCACAGTCTGGGCACCTCAGGCTTTGCAGTGCTAACTGAGAAACTGCCACCATGAAGAAAACTTGCTATAAAGAAATTGCTAAAACGCTCTTGCATTGGAATTCACATCCTGTTACTTACCTTTGCCTACCTTGCAAAGTTTGTTGTTGAATGTAAGAAGCCATTGCATGTCTCTAGCAAGGTCTCGATAGTATCTTCTGCCCTACCATAATTTGGTTACACAAGTAGGAGCTTCCACTGTCAGCTTACCACAAGAAAGTCTCTTCAAGCTTGTCTTGTTTGTCACTCAACAGTCTGCTGTGTTAACACTTGGTGTTTACTTGTACAACAGGGCAAAGATGAATGCATGCAAGATGTTCAGTGTGAATCTTTCTCTCATGCCCACAGAAACTTGTTTTGCTTAGAGAAATCTTTTTTCTTAAAACAGTGGTTTAGTTTTCTGAAAACAACCCTAGAAGAATACTTAAGACCTTTTACCCCATGACTGCAAAACAGAGTATCTATGCTTGCAGCCTTCTAATAATGATTTAATGGTTTACTGTTTGCTTGAAGGGTCTTGGGAAGTACACAAGAAATACAAAGCAGGACAAATGTATATAAGCAAAGGGACAGGGATTGACACCAATGAGATAATCTTTCCATCACACATATTTTTTGACTTGTCAGAGGTCAAGAGTGAGAAAAATAGGAAAACTAGGGGGAAAAATAGCTACAGAAACGACATGCCCATTCTTTTTGCTGCAGACATTCTTTTTGAGATTTTTTATACTTCATCCCAGCTTAGCACTTCACTCAACAACATTCATATTGTCAGTTTTTCATTCTCTGCCTATAGATTTTGTGTACTTCCAAAGATATGACAAAATTGTAATAAAGGTGTTTGTTTAGTTTTGTTTTGTTTTCTGATTGTTATGGGCAGTGAATAAATAGGAAGCTACTAATTGTATTTATCTTGATTTTGGCAAGATTTTAACCCTTTGAGATATTTGCTCTGTCTGGCAAGCAAGCCAGAGAAGCACTGCTCAGATGCAGTCATTATAAGTAGGGTGCAGAATCATTTAAAATTGTGTTCGAAATTTAGCTAGCTATCATCTAGCTGGGATGACATTTCAGATGGGATTCCAATGGGACTTTGGCTAGTGAAAAATTATCTACATTATTGTGTTAACTGCAAGGATGTTACATTTTGTTACAGCAAGGGTAAAACATTTATGAAAAAATTCAGATGAAATCAAGCTGAGAGGGCTTTGGGCACTTGTGCAGGTAAGATCAGAACCCAGAATGATCTCAAGAAGTGGCCTGAAATCAATTGTTCCTGTTAGTCCTGATTTGTGCACCACAGTGTAAGAAAAATATAAATAGACTGAAGAAGGATCAAGAGAGCAAATCTAGAGGCTTGGAAAACATGGGCTGCAAGTAAATATAGAAAAGAAAAAAAAAGAAAAAAGTTGTGCTTAAATCTGGAAAAGATGGATGGCATGAAAATACTTTTTGAAAATATTAAAAGCAGTTATAAAAGAAAAAAATGATTCATTTGTCATCATATCCATTGGAAGAAAAAGTCCAAAAGTAGAAAAGGAGTTAATTTGCAGGAAATTACATTTAAATTAGACATTAGGAATTTAGGTTCATGGAAAGGCAACACAAAGAGACTATAGAACTTCCTTCATTACTGATGTCAAGGATTAATTTAGTAAAACATCATTCTGGTACAGAGGTATACTTAATCCTGCCACAGAGCACAGAATCAGCTGAATGACTTCTGCACGGGTCGTTCTGGCCAGGGCGAAAAGTAGATAACAGGTTAAACATGCCTATGGTTGCAATGGAAGCATACAGTGGTGCTCCAGCCTTGTATTTTGGTGGCTCTTTGCTTGTGAGCAAGCGGTGGGCTAAGGGTAGGACTACAAGAACATGATTTCATAACTTCTGGACATCATGCAAAGACATTATTAAGTGTGGCAGATATTGAGGGGTAGCTTTGTGCAAAATAATCTCATAAATGCAAATTTTAAGGGTACGCACCACTGTGAAAGTTCTTAAACCAAGGGTTATATATCTACTTTTTGTGACTTTTATGTGAATGTTACTATGTTTATATCCACAAAAAGCTATCTTCTATCAAATATTTCTTTTTTAGTTTGCTCGTTTGTTTTAATGTACAGAAAGCCAATCTGTCAGTACCAGAGCCCAGACTTGTGAAGAATGTACTTCTATAGCTGAACTCTCTGGCCCTTTTCTTTCAAATCAAAGTCAGACTCACATCTGATATGTGAGAGACAATATTTCAGGGATGAGAGTTGCTGATAAATAACCTGCAAAAGCCAATAGTCAGGTCTCCTGGTGCAAAGGAAGCAAAGGGTGTGCTTTTACCTGTGTAAAGAGAGTGTTATATCAGAGAAACAGGGGGCTCAGAGTCAGATGAGATTGAATTGCCCTGGAAATTGTTTAAAATAAACATGAGAAGACCATTGGGAACTGCCAGTGTTGTGAATTAATAAATAACAACCACCCTGCAACCTTCCTACAGACCTCCAGTGCCTTGAGAGAAATGCTGCTTTCCTTAGATCTGTGCAGTCTCATCTCTGAAGCTCAGATAAATTGTTCCAACTTTCTGTGCATTGCAACCCGAATGTCAAAGCAGGGAATCAGAGAAACTTCTGTCTCTCAAACAGTCAGATCAATGTGCTTCCTCCTCTACATCTCTGAACCACAGTATGTCAGCAAGCCAGATACAGTAATGACAGTCAGTATTCACACCAATAAATGAATGATTTGCAGCATTTGTAATACCTAAACAGCATGTTGTTTTGTACTCATCAGGAGGTCTACATGAAAAAGAGTGATATGTGGCTCTTTCTGATAGACAGATAGCTCGTATAAATCACTTATTGTCTTTCTGTGATTTTAAATTTATTTTCATTTAAAAGCTTAAAGAGGGACTTTGCCTTTCTCCATTTTTTTACCCTTTTTATGTATCTCCACAATTGGCTGGTCTTGTTTTAATAGATTATTAGGGGGTCCATCAAAAATAGTCTTTGTTGGGTGTCTCTTGAATGATAATGCCGATCACTCACTTCTGAAAAGATATTTCTAACGAAAGCAATTTGCCCATTTTTCAGTTGATTTCATAGGTGGATTTGACTCTTACGGCTATCAAGGCCCACAGAAGACATCTCATCTACAGCTACAGCCCATGTATATGTAAGTATTTAACTCCTGAGATATTCTACAGAATGGCAGGCTGATATTAAAGGATCATTAAGCTGAAAGATGATGTGACTTAAAAATTCAGAATAGGCAGAAGCCTTTTTGATAGACTGAATTCAGGCTACACTTAATCACCAACATTGCTCTTCTATTGCATGATAATGATTTCTTACAGCAAGATACAATGTGTCACAGTTGTTTAAATAACTCTTAGCTCTCACCTGATTTTACCTCGTTTTCATTCAAGCAGATTCCACTCAAAGGCAATGAGAATTTGGTTTAGTAAGAACTAGTCAAAGCTGACAAAACTTGGATGCCGAAAAGTGCTTTCTATTAAGATTTATCAATAATTAAGCAACTTGATAATTTACTGGATGTATTTAGCATAAGTGTTTACTTGGACAGGTATCTGTTCACTGAAGCACCTCTGTACCCCATTTCTAGTCTCCATGAAAGAAAGGGAAGGAAAAGGAAGGAAAGAAAATTGACAACATACTGTTTTCAAAACCAGTTTAAATATTGTTTTTAAAACCAGTTTGAATAGAAGAGAGTATATTATCTATCCAGTAAGAGTGACAGTTCCATCCACTGCCTAGAAGTGCAGTCAGACACATAATAAATGTCAGCACATAGACACAACCGGAGTACATTCACACTGGAACTCACACCCAGCCATAGACTGGTCCAGAAATAATCATTTCCAAATATTTCTTGTGCCAGCTGCAATTCAGAACAGCCCTGACTGCCTAGATAAATCATACCTCACAGCCTTTTGAATTCTCTTTTACTTACCCTCACTAGCTGACATAACAAAAGTACAGCAAGTAACAGCTCACAAGGCCACGGCATTTATTTTTTTCCTTTGTTACTCTTCTAACCATTTATTTTGAGGAAAAGTACTAAATACAGGCAAACAATATCTGTCCCAACACATGCTCCATACACCCTTGAATGTAATTTCATTTATGCTGCTTAGTGGAAGTCTGCTAATGGATTGGTAGCTTTCTGCATGAAACTGCCATTTATTACTTTATCAGCAGTACAATCAATTCTGTGGTAGTGCTTAGGATCGGGCCCTTTGGGAGCTTTGCTAGGAGCTTTTTAATAATCTCAAATTACAATAGTGCATGTCTCCAGTGCCATCTTAACTTCAGTTTCCCATCTGTCTGTGCTCAAGTAAAGATTTTTCACCTGCACTTTTGGCATAGTACTGTGCATTTAGAAAATGTTATTTCCTTCCTAGTACTATGTGTGGCTCATAGGTACTTAGAGCAATTCTAATCCTATTTCGTTCTCGGTATACCATACCTTGTCATCAACATATGGAGCCCTCTAGCTGAGATATTATCCCATTCTCTTTATGATCTCAGTGTTTCTTCCAGAACAGCAGATTACATTTACTAAGCATCTTCATACTGATGGGAAAGAAAACTAGACCTGTGGAAAGAAGGAAATATTTTTAAGCTTGTAACTGAGACAAAGAGATGTATGATGAATCCATGTAAACCATGTTCTGCTTTATTTCAGTGCTGCATTCTCACCAATATATAGGTGATTTTGCTGTCTTTACTGAGAGACAGAAATCTGTATGTAAGTTGACATTTGTCCAATCAACCCACAAAAGTATTGCCGTGTCCCAGCAGCAGTCAAAGACACTGCATGTTTCCCTCTGACTATATAGTATTTGACAAGGTTTTCTAGAATCACTATAGCTTGTCCTTAAGAGGCTTTTACGGCATTTAGTAATACCTTTCTGTTATTTACATCTGAGGCACACTAGGAACACATGCATATGTATTTACACTGTAGTTGCTCCATAAATGTAGGCAGGCCATTAGTCAGTGGAGTGACAAATTCGAATGTCAAATTAATCAAGCCGTTGTTTGATCTGCTGGTAGCTCTATTTACAGCAATAAAACATATTGGAAATCAAAACACACTGATATGGTAACAGCAGGCTATGCTATATGTTGTAAAGCATTATTTGTTGGGTGGAAGATTTGGTTCCTTAGGGATCATGTCCACCAAAGAACATTAGCCTTAGCCTCCGTAGTATTCAAGGAGAAGAAAAAAAAATAAGCACTTTACATTACTCTCTGGCCAACGTCACCTGGACTTTACAGTGTTCAGCATCCCTTGGGGATGAGTAAAATATAAGAATCATTTGACATAGAAAGGCAGAGGATGGAATGGGAAAGACCTTCCGTTTTATGGAGTTCATTGCCACACTCTCAAGAGGATATAATCACATCCATCCAGGATACAACTATATCCCTACATATCCATATTGCTATACCCATATAACTATTTCCATAAATTTATCAACTACTACAAAAGAGCTTTGAATCCTAAGGCAGTGGAAGATATATTAAACATCATCACAAAAAAAAAATATATAAAAAAATTGTAAAGACAACTTGTGGCCACCTTTGCGTGCTCTACTATTCAGACTTACAGCAAGTGTAACTCATGTGAAGCTCTGGTTTATAGGAGAAACAGGAGATAGCTTATTTTATATCAGCTGGCTACTAACTACTGTCAAAAACACAATAATACTTCTTTCTTTTATCTGTGGTATAGGCCAGTATGTTAGGAATGGAAAGTGAAGGAGAACAAATGACCTCAGCTTTGAAGAACTTGCCAAAACAATATCAGCTTATAATGATTATACAGGTTCTGACAAAATGCAAATTTCAACATGTATTTCACTAATAAATGTAGAGAACAACTCCCCATTATTCACTATATCATTTTATATGCAGAAACAATACAAAGACATATAGTGTTGTGTCATCATCCTAATACTGCTTGCAGACATGAATTGATTTAGCAGATTACAATGTCACAATCCCATCAAGACAAACTTTTATTTCAATTCAAGCCAGACAGATTTACATCTAAGTGATTTAAATCAATTTGAACTGTTTTATATATGCACAGTTTAATTACTATCCTGAAGGAATGCTGACTTTAGTAATTGCTAACTATTAATATGTACTGTTTTGCAAACAGAGCGTTTTCCTGTTGTGACAAAGTTAGTACTTCATTTTGTTAATTTGGAGGTTATACTGAATCTACACAAACTTACTCGTACAATCAAATAATTATAATGATTTATTCAGGCTCTTCATTTTTACATTTCTATTGTGTCAGGACTACTTTAACCAAATAATTATTACTTTTTATTTGTGATATCTATCAAGCTCTACTTATAAGAACATTCAAACCCAATTTAAATGCACACAGTACCTTCATATGGAGTTTCATCAGTTATGCAAAACTACCATAAATGAATAAGATAGGGAAAAAAAAATCTTGATTCACAGAAAAGGAAGCATTATCTGTAGACAGTGAATTAAGGTAGCTATCTCTGGTTACTCTTTCCATAAATAGTCTAATGTTATTAGATTGAGACTCACTTTATTTCTTTTCTCTATAGTTTAGGCTTTGTCTTCCAATCACAACTCTCCTTATCAACTCTCCCAACTTAAAATTTAATTTAAACCAGCTTATTTTTTAACAGAAAAATATATTCAACTTAAAATTATGTTTTAAATAGAAAACTGGTGTTTAGGAGAAGGATTCTTATCATGACTTAATTGGCTTTTTTTTATTATTTAAGTGCCAACAGTGTACTTTATGCTGTACAAGCCAAGAAGCCTGTCCAGTCCCTTCAAAATGAATATACATTTTAACGGGACAGAAAAGCTGCTCATATACCTCCTCGCAGTGTGGCCGCAGCTGATGTCCTAAAAAGCAGCTTCCCAGCATTCTGTGCTGGAGATGCCAGTGCTCATCTCCAGACAATGGGACAAGAACACAATAAGATGATGGAAGAGAGAATTCATCTCTCGGAAGGTGACCAAGGAAGGTGACTAAACAGTCTATGGCACTGATTCTGCACATATAGAAAAATGCGGTTATGGTTGTGGAACATTGCTGCACTGCATGATCACAGTACAGAGGAGGGAGAGGAGAGAGATTTTTCTATCTTTGTTTGTTTGTTTGTTTCACAATAAGTCTGTTCACTGAAGAAAAATGTAAAGCAAAAAAAAAAAAAAAAGCATGCATGTCTGATGCTGTGTCTGATGCTGATGCCTAATGCACTGGAGAAATTGCTCAAAAGCAGTTTAGTCCTGAAGTGAAGCTTGCACTCCCTTGTGTGCTGTGAAGTCTGAGAATCCTTTCATTTTATATATATATACATATATATACACGTATATATAAATATAGAAGCATACTATATATACATAGAAACACATAGTTATGTGCATTCATACTCCTACATATGTGCATGTAACTATATATACATATGCCTACCTATGTGTATTCTGTTACATGAACCTTGCTTATGACAGTTTCAATAGGATTAAACATTTCTCCAAATGTGGAAAGGATTTTGAGTCAACAACTTGGGAACAGAGTTGTGGGGGTGCTAATACATTTGCCTTAGTATTTTTTCCCATCTTTTCTCTCTGTTGTGTTTATTTATGCATTATGTTTGTGACGGCCTCCTAGCCTAAAGCTGTAGGTAATTGTCCAGATAATTTTGCATAAATTTAACTGAACATACCAACTTTTTATCATTTATGTTAAATTAAAATTATATATATATACATGTATATATATAAAGGGAAGGAGAAAAGAAACATAAGCAAAACACAATACCTGGCACCTAGAAACTAGGACACTTAATTACCAAGACAGTCAGCAAGTTCACGCAGTGCAAATCTGCTGTGTTACTGTCTCCTTGAGCTGTACTCCAAGAATTCAGACTCATGTTGGTGGAATCCAGATATCATGGGCAACATATTATTTGAATAAATCACCAGTTAAGTCATGACTAGTAACCAACAGGATCTTGTCTGTATTACACTATGAAAGATGGAGTTACAGAACTTGGGTTAAAGCACAGTAGTCTTTAGATTGACAGGGGTTAGTTGACTAATTATATATTACTCCTGCTTGCAGTATGGTTTGGAATGGTTTGGAAAACCTGTGATGACTTATCTGATGATGTTCCAAAGGGAGAGAAGTGATCATCTCAACAAATGCCTTTTCTCTTCTGTTCTCTTTAACCCATGCACTGCTGAGCTGTTACTGGTCGGTGGCTTAGTCTTGCTTGCAAATGGGTACCAGAGCAGTAGGGCAGTGATCACATAAGTTTCTGGTGGATTATATGCATCTTTCTTTTCCTTTCTTTTTTCTAGGTCAAAGTAACATGGAGACTACTCAACGTGGGCTGGAGGACCTGTCAAAGAAACTGTTTTGAGATTGTCCCTTGGTTCTTCAAAGAGCAAAAAAAATCCATTTTTTGTGCTAAAAAAAAAATAAAAAATAAAAAATAAAAAGGCTGATTGAACAATGAGACAAAACACAAGATATACGTTCAGCCCTCTTTCTAACAGGTACTAAGGAGATGCCCCAGACCCTTACTTTGGACGTCCTGCCTCCCAGAACCAGAGGGCCAGAGCAGATGGCGTCTCCGCACCCCAGCCACCATCAGAGGGGCCCATCTGGATTAAGACATGAACCCAGCCAATTTGGTGCTTTGGAGCCCCCTCCACACTCCTGGCTACATCACGTCTCATCAGTCAACATAAAACTAAAAATACCAGGATGACCTTGCAACAGAAGTCAATAGACAGCACGTTGTTTGCCCTGAAGGCTGTACAGTTCATACTTGCCTTAACCCAACTGCATTGCACATCAGAGAAACTCAGTGCAAGCTTTCTGAAGTAACGTCCTTTAGGCTCAACACGCTGCTGTTAATTCTGAACAATTTCTAAGTCAGTGGTTTTTTTGTTTTGTTTTGTTTTGTTTTGTTTTCATGTCAGGGAATAAGGCTCTGTTGCTCCATGGCTCCAGAGTGACCAAGTAGAAAACTGCCAGCTATCAGAAAAGTGCTTTACCTTTGAAGCTTCACAGTGGTCAAGAAACACACAATTTATAATGGTTAAATGAAAAAGAAAAAAAAAAAAAAAAAAAAAAAAAAAAAGAAATTAGATCTTTTGGGGGGTCAGGGTGGGGAAAGGGGTAATATAAACTAATAATTGAACCTACTGGAAATAAGCAGCAGAAACAGTGCTTCTTAATCCCGCTGTTTTTATTTATCGCACTGTAGGTGCTTTTATAGCTATCTCTAAATGTCTTTTACTAACTACAGAGACATCTGCAAATTTCTATAAACAAAGGCCAACTGAATATGTACTAGCTATGTTTACTCTTTTATATCTAATTTCAACTGAAAATTCTCTGTAAGTGAGCTTTTTTTTCTAATTGCACCATAAGGGAACTATATATATATTTTTTTGGTTTTGGCTGGGGAGGGCAGGGAGGGACTAGTTGAGTTGAAGAAACATTGGAGACCTTTTTGTGGTATATTTGGGGGATCTGTTGTGTGTTAGAATGTGTATTTTATCTTCCTGTATTATTGTGGCTGAAAAAAAACTGTGCTGTTACGTAGTTGGCAACAAGATGCCTTTGGGAATTTTGCTAGTAGGTCAATGTGTATATGAAATACTCTGAACTCCTAGGAACATATGTTTTGTTCTAATTCTGATCTGTATTTTCAAGCACTTAGGTGGCTTTCATTAGAAGAAACCAATATTTTGCTCAGGCTTTTCAGGAACTTGGATTGTCATTGTTTTTTTGCTCAGACCCTGCACAAGCAAAAGCACACACCTACCACACCTGAGGTGACCATGTAGCTGTTGAGGGCAAGAGGAAAAGGTCAGCACTTGGAAAGGCTTAAGCTATCCCCAGGTGAATCCCTTTCCCTTGTTCATCAAACCCTCATATCCGCATGGCTTCTGAGCTCCCACAGCCCACACACTAACTCCACTCATCCATCCCTATACAAACCAGTGCCCTTTGCTGTGTCTGCATGGATGTAAAGTGTCACAAACCAACACTCTGGACAATGACAGAGGAACAGGCATTCATCAGTGAAGATATGGGACACATTCAAGAATTATACTTACATTTATTCAGTGAGATTTTATATCTGTGTGTGTGTGTGTGTGTGTGTGTATGTTTATGTAATACACAGGAATAACTATTGGCAGGGGCTGCATAATCCAGGGAGTGTCTGATGCATGGGTCCAAGAACTCCAGCCCAAGATCCTGCTCATGATTTCCTGCATGAATTAGGCAAATCACTTAGGTCTGATCCAGTAGAGTACTTGTTGGATCTCAAGTTCAAATTTTCAGATTTGGGCACCTGAAATTCTGAGCTCATTCTGGGTAGATCTGCTTTCACTTCCTGGAAAATCATGCAGCTTCCAAGTGCCAGGCTGAAATTTCCCATAACCTGACAAATTTTGAAAGTTTCTACTTTTATGTAATATTTAATAGAGCAGTTGTATCATATTAAACACAATGTAGAGATTTAAATGGAATGAAAATGGCACAGCAGGGTATTTTAGCTTTCCCTGTATGAAAGTTAGTCAAAATCATGTTTCTATAAGAATTTTTAACATGAAAAGAAAGCAGTTTAGGCACTTAGGCAATGTTCCAGTTTTCAGAAGATAAATTTTCATACCTTTCACTGACACCCCACAGAATGGCAACTACTGGTAGTTAGCAGTTTTAGAAGTCAGACAATTTAATGAAACATCTACACATAGTTTTTAGGCCTAATTTTAATTTAATAAAAGAAATGGCCTTAATTTCTCCGTGTCTTAGTCTTCCCATCTTTAAAAAGGGAATAATATGTGCCTCACAGGCTTTGTAAGAGGTATGAATTGTTCATGTTTGTAAAGTGCTTAGGAAATAGGAAGCACATTTAATAATTAAGTATTAAAATGATAAATGCATATTCATATATTACACATAAGGTAGATATACACACACACATACACACAGCATACATATATATATGTCTATATGAAGTTGATATTCATAACCCTGCTTAAGTTGCAGTTAGAGCACCACCATTAAAAAGAAATTAGGACTGTTGACTACTAAACTAAATGATTAGTGGACAGATCTCTTCTGGAAGCAGTTTAGAGCACAGTAATGTGAGAATATCTGGATGACATTTTTGATTTGTACAGCTGTATCCTCCTCAAAATCCAGTAAAGAATGTTATTTTTCTAGGCTGGGCTTTTGTTATAAACTTAAATATTCAGAAGGTAAGAGATACAATCCAAATGTGTCTTTTTTTTTCTTTTCTTTTTGGCATTTGTTAATTCTGAATGTATTTTTAACAAAAGTGATTTTTTTGACTTACTAGTGTAATTTGCATTTTAAAAAATAAATGGAAATAATATAGGTTTCCAAGCTATCCATGGCCCCCTGCTGCTATTCACAACTTATAGGAAACTAAAGATTACTGCTACCAGCTGAGCAACAATGTGGGATAAAGAATCCTGTTACTTTTACATGATGACAGTCCTGGTCTGTGCAGTGTACGGATGTGACACCACTGAATAGAAAGTGCCAGGTCATGACACCATTTTAACTCAGTCATAGGTAGCATGCATTTTCATTATCACTGACACTAAAAGGTTTCTTTACAAGGCTAACTGCAATAGACTCTTTCCTTAGAAAGCAGCTTTTTTTTTTTGCACACTCATCAGGAATTTTAAGCCTATGATAGGTTTACAGTTGCCAACAGTGTTAAATACAGCAAAAGTAATCCTTGTTAAGAGGGAGCTATGTAACGTGGATATTTCCACTGCATTCATTTTCTTTTATATGCTGTTCATTGTACCTACACCAAAATGATGAAATCCTGTCTTAAGTGACATCTTTACAGAGCTCATGTATATTGACAGCTTGCCTGAGGTCATTTAGTAAAAGTGAAGTGGGACAGTGAATATTTTGAGATACGTGGTTGTGCTCTCTTCAGACTATTCTTTAGTAAGATAGTTCAGTAATTATTGCCTTTAGGATTTTTTATGCTATAATTATAGTGCAAGTGATATTTTTCAGTCAGGTAAGGAGAAAAGGGTTGGGCTCCACTTGCTTAATTTAAGTACTGGTTGCAATACTTGGATGTTGTACAGCATTTTGAAAAAGGCTGATGCAAAGCGTATTGATTTGTGGATGTCTCCAGAAAGGAGTGGTTGTTAACTCAGTCTCTGAAGGTTTTTATCATTTGTACTCTCACCCTCTATTTGAACACACTGATAGTAGGCAAAACAAAACTCCACACTGCACGAAGCCTTCCAGCTTGTAATATTTTTATTTCCAGTTCTCTGTTTTCTTTTTAAATGCAATTACTCGGAGGACAACTCTGAGTAAATTCCATCCAAACCCAAATCTGAATTTCCATTCAAAGATGGGAAGTTCCGTAAATAGACTATGTGTATTTCTTTCTCTCTCCTTCTTCTCTTCTTTCTCTTTCTTTCTATCTTTGTTCTGATGTGTTTCCTCAACTTAGCTGAGATGAAATTGATAAGCTTTCTCAGTTTGTGTTCTAGCTAATCTAAAGTTTGTATTCTAACTAATCTAAATCTGGCTACTTTACAGTGTATGTGTATTGGAGACAGACAGTAAAGTTGGTCAAAATTTTGTTTAAGAACCAATACATAGAAGTATTGCAGACAGTTTTGTGTCCACTGTTCCTTAGAGAAGGGTGCAGATCAGATGTTTTTCTAATCAATCTGCTCCAAGCTACGTGCAAAATTAAATGTAATTACCATGCATAAAAGAAACCACCCTTTAGACTGCAGTTATTCATTCTCATATAGAAGTGTCACAACACAAAGTAAGTGAAAGGTGTTTCCTTCATGTAGTGGCTAATACACTTCATCCCCCGTGGACCAGAGTAATCAGCTCTGTTTAGTCTTGTGTCCTGGCAAGCACCTCTGTTCAGACATTCACCAGGAGAAACAATTGCAGCCAGTTGGCTTTGTGGCCTTCACATAGCTGCAGGGAGAAAGATATTTTACCGAATGTGGAGCTCTAAGTAGTGTCATGCATGCATTCATTATGCATTTTCCTCCACATGTACAAAAAAGGGCTCTTTTAAAATGTACTCTTCCTTTATCTTTAGAGACAACGACAGTGTCTTTTAAAGCTACTTCCAAATCTTGCTGACATCACTGAATGGTTTTTTCTTCTGGTCTAATCAAAGCATTTTTCTTTTCTTTTCTATATTGTGTAGAATACTTAGCTCTCAGGACATATCTTGGATAGGAATAACACTGCAAAAAATCGAACATTCAAAAAATTGCTTGTGGCCTTATCTCATTCACAATTAAACCTCCCAGGCAAAGGTCAGACTTCTACATTCAGCAGTAGAAGAGGATTTTTCTACCACCTCTTACCTATCTACTTTCCTAGCTTTGCCTTCGTCCTGCTGGCAGACAAGTCATATGGAGCTAAACA